TTCATAAACAATAATAAGTATATCATAATTTTGCGTTTCGATAATAACACCAACAATATTACCATACATACGTCGCGTTCATCGTGAATATTGAAAAATGTTAAATTCGATATGATTATACGTATAAAATAAATGATTAACGAAAAATGTATAATTTCATGGAAATTCTTAATAAAAATGAATTGTTTCTCGTTATGTTACATTATCTGCTACAATATTTTAAAACTGTTTTCTTTCTTTTATTTCACTTTTTTAATCAAATTAATAAATATCTATACAGGGTGGTCCACCTAAATAAGGCCACTTATAAATATCTCCTCTAATTGCGGGAGTACAACAAGAAATTTCTCTCACTCTACGTTTCGAGAAATGTATCGAGGCAAAATAACACACTCGAACACGAGTTTCGGGGTTCGAGTATGTTCGTGTTTCGATTTGAACGCTTCTCCAAGCTGGAGCGATGGGAAACGGACGAATACGCTACGCCCTTGCATCTTGTAGTTTTCGTATCGCGAAGATTCGGAAAACGGAGATTCGATTGAGCCTAAGCAGATGTTTCGCCGCGATCTAAATCGTAATAATAATAATAATAATAGTAATAATAATATCGTGGCGAATCGGCGGCGATGCGAAGAAAAACGGAGCTTCCCCGGCGCGTGAAACTCGATTTACCCTCTCGCTCGTGAAAGTCATGCGTAGGAGATGAGAACCGCTGGAATCACGATCTACCGATCTGCTGAAATTCGCCACGCGAATTTCACGTGACTCGTCGTCAGCGTGGCCGCGCTAATACCAGAAGAAAACTGGACGAAACAACGCGGCGCTCCGACGAGAGGCACCGTGACAATGCGCGAGATAAGATAAGCCCGGAAGATAGGTCTATCGAAGGCATCTTCTTTTCGAAGTCTCCTTGCGATCCAACAACTGTATCGCGGCGCGGCGTTAAATCGGTTCCAGGGGTTGTGATGTAATGAAACAACTGGTGTTATCGGTGGTCGAACATTGCCGGCTTTTTAATCAACTAGATTCTTACATAAATACGCATTGAAACGAGGAGAGAGAGAGAGAGAGAGAGAGAGAGAGAGAGAGAGAGAGAGAGAGAGAGAGAGAGAGAGAGAGAGTGAGAGAGGAGTTCTAAGGAATAAGGTAAGGTGGTTCGCTCGAACCGTCTACGGTGCTTAAGGACTAGAAAAATTAAAGAAAGCCAAAAAAGTTTCACTTTTCCGACGTTGTTTTTCGTTTCATTCGGTATAACTTCCATCGATGCGCGCGTTCTCCGGGATAACCTATTTCGAGTTCGGAGAAATTCTGTGCTTATTACTGTACAAAGTTTTGGGACGGGATTTAATGGTTTTTCATTAACTGCGGCATTGAAATTGAACGCCCGGCACCGGGCGGTGACACATCGTCGTCGCACGGCTCCGCCGGCCGATAATAAAAGTTTACTGCGTACCGACGAGGAACAAAGATGGCGACGGTAATGGCGCGCCGCGCGGTCGTCGCTCGAGAAAATACGACACCCTAAAAGTGACGTGTCCAGGGGTCGCAGCGAACGATCGCTGCGAAAATAATGTCATAACGGTTTATTGCAATACGGCTGTTCAGGTAAAATCCCTCCTAGTCGATATAGGTGGTATTGCCGGCCAGGTATAAGACGATTGCCGCGCTGTCCCAGTTAATTACACTGGGTATTGTTATTGAAAAGGTTTACCTTGAAACGTGTACAATCATGAATAAGGGTGTAAACTTACAAACTAAGGTATTGCCGTTCCGAGGATCGGCTTACGTGTTAATGATCGAGTTCGATAGAAAAACAAGGTAGACACACAGGAGAGATGTACACGAACAATTAATATGCACTTATCCCGTCGCTTGTTGTATTTTTTTTTATTCGTAGGTTTGATTCTGCGTTTCGTTCGCTTATACGAGAACGACCGGAAGAGACTTATTAGGCTTCGGTTAAATTTGTTAAATACAATTCGTGACGAACCGGCTCGATGCTTGTGCCTTCGATAATGGCGCAAGATGTTTCTTTCTTTTTTTTACGATTTTTAGTACGATTACAGTACGTTTCGTAACGCAACAACGATTTCTTTCACCGTGACGCATCCTCCGTTAAGGGAGGAAAGCGTCGCGAACGATTACATATCGCAGGAAATACATCGAGTAGAACTCGTTTGTAATTTCGAATAATCACGAGACGAGGTCGGTGGTTCTTTTTTTATTAAGGCGAACGCCTGGTTCCCGCGGGACGCTTTGATACCGAATGAAACGAACGCGAAACTCGCGATCCATTCGTGACTGGATTCGCGAAGGTTTTTCGAAGATCGAGCGAAATTCTGTTATTGCCCGACAAATGCAAAATGTGTTGTCATTGTTTAGACGACGTTCGCGTGTATATACGGTATGTATATATAATACAGATTAAGAGAGAGTACCGAAGGTCGAGATTTCTTTCTGAAATTTGTATACGATCGAAGAGATACTCTCCTCTCCAGGATCATATTTTAGTCTGTACAATAGACGTGTGCGCCGGTGTACCACCACGAACAACGTTAAACAGCTACAGGGTGAAAAAGAAAATAGCTATCGTTACCCTGCGTCGATTCTGTGCTTATATTTTTTCTTTTTTGTTTACTCGGAAATTGCTCGTGAAACGGTATGATACAGAATGCGCGGTAAGATCTCTCTTCTATGCATCGAACGGAATGCGATTGGCAGTATAGCGCTACCGATACACCTCGCGAATCAGTTTGTTTCGCAAACGGCGACGCCACGCGCTCGCGATCCGGTGCGAAACACGCGCAAGGTATTCCTGTTCGAGCGAGCGGACTCGCCGCTCGGCTAGAAGATGAAGGAATTTGTACATCGGTTGAACCGTTCTCAGGCTCAGTCTCGTCTGCGCCACGTGAACTTCGCCCTTTGCGTAGTCGCCTCGGCTGGGACCGGCGTCGGATGCGAATACTGGCAAGACGGTTTCGTGCAGAACGGATGGTACTTGCACTGCTGCGCCGGATGGGAGAACACGCATCCCAGTTTTGTGCAGGCCAGTCCGAATTTGCATTTAGGATGTCTGTACGCACACTTGTCTCCGAATTTACAAGCAGGAAACGCGCTATAATGTAAACAAGAGGACTGTCAGCTTTGCAGATATGTTGGACAAATATTTGTAACAAACAAGAGGATCCTCAAAAATGGGCAGACTCTGAGGCTCCTCTGGTCAATTTGAATTCATTCATTTTAATGCACAGCTTTTAAAACGGAATAGCTTTTTCAGAATTTAGCCAAGCGATTTAAATTTTTTGGGGACGTTAGAGAGATTGGTTCGCTAGGCAATGGATAAAAAATTGTTTGAGGACAATTGCAATGTTCAGAATTGAGAGAAATACAAACCTGCACATAACAATGGGATGAAGGTACGCGCATTTGCTTCCTAACGTACAGTTCGGCCAATATCTGCACTTCTCCTTCGACTTGTCTAACACTGTTACCGCGCTTTCTGTTGTTGTTGTTGACTTTTTGTCTAAATCTGAAACAGAGACATGAAAAGTACATGAAATTTTCATTCTTGCACGATAACAATTCGTCGTCTCAATTTATTGTGTCACTTACGTTTGGCCAACAATGGGTTTGTCAATACAGTACTGGTCTTGATATCTGCAGGACTGGGTGAATGAGATCTGTTATATACTATGGGACTTAATTTTCTTCGTTTCCTCGGTACCTCCTCAGTCTTCTCGACATTCTCGGTGTTACAGTTTTCATTATTCTCTTCCGCTCTTTCTTTTCCATTCGCATCCATCTCACCATCCACTTCGGTTACTTGAAAAACAGATGTTTCTGACTCATTCTGGGCATATACATCATTTTGTGTTGTTAAAAGCACAAGTTCATCGTCTTCATTTACCTTCGAACACGATTCATGGAAATAGTGTTAAGGACGGCTAAAGTAAGTGAAGCGCTTATAAATTTAACTAACTGCGGCTACGGTTAACTACCTCCATTTCCAGTCGTTCGTCGTCGTCGGATACAGCTTTCTCCTTGATAAGGTTGTTGTTGTATCCGTTCAGGGTGACTAAAAATTTTTGGTTGTCGTCGCTTCTTTGAAACAACGACATTACCACGCCCATATGCTCCTCAGTAACCGATTGTTTTACATCTACAGATCGTACAATACTAAATGTATTAGAGAAAGAATTTTAGGTGTTGTACGCGTTCGTACCTGCCTAGAAACAAACATACTTACAAGGCTTCAATTTCGTCTCGGAAACATCGGTATTTAACTCGACCTGGATCTTTTCCATGACCAATCTCTTATTAGAATTGAGATGTACCGACAAATTTTGTCCTACTTCTCGAACGACGGTCGGCTTAAGATGTTTCAATGTTTGCTTCTTATCCTGCAAGCATAAATTAAGAGAGATTAATGTACAATATAATGATAGAAAAGTAATTCCCTGACCGATTTGTTATTTTATACAAACCAATAGAGATGGTTCAGGATTCTTTTGAGTAACAACTGACTGGTTGGCTTCTGCAACCGCTCGTAACAGCAAGGATTGCGTGGCACGTTTCTGCGTTGGCTGCAGAGGTTTCAGCGGTCTTGGAGTTACGATTACTTTGCTTGGTATCTTAGTATCTTCGATGTCTTCTGCGTCGCTGGACTCTTTACTAGTTCTTTCCGACAACTTCAATCGTTTTCTTTCAGTCTTTGCTGGAGTAAGTTTATTTACGGCTATTATGTGAGATTTAATGGGACCAGAAATTCCGGTAGATTGATCGTCATTGTCTAACTCTTCTTCTGCCCCCAAGTTGAGATAATCATCGTCTTCGCTACTCTGAGAACGTCTATTTATTAAATTGAAACCACCTTTAACTGTCACCGGTCGAAAATTGTTTTTCAACGGTCCCAGTCTAGTTTTAATGTTTTTGTTGTTACTTAATGTATCCCGATCTTGCTCCAACAGTTTACTTTTGAATTCCATCGACTCTTTGACTCCCAATTGTTTCTGCAACCTATCGGTACGCGCGATCCCTAAACGATCTTTAATCGTACTCGCCGGTTTTCCAACTGATTTTGATTTTACAGTAGAGTTCACCTTATCTCTTAATTCTACATTTTTAGAAATTTTGTCAACTTTGGAGCTGCCCAAACGTGTCTTAACATCACTGCTAATTTTATCAGAATCATTGTGTTTCGACTCGGCTTCACGGTTTCTCCTTGCACGTTCGTCCGTCTCAAAATTTCTTCCTCTTTGGAAATTATTGTTACTACGAATGCCATCGAACCTGTGCTTTTCTACACGCTTTTCATTCTGTCGGTATCGGTTGTCATTATCCGTCTTATCTCTGTGAACTTCAAATTTCTTTCTGGGAGACACTATACCAAGACGATTTTTCACAGAGACAACAGATGTAACTTTTGGTTTATTGATACAAGATTTTAATTTTTTTACATTGTCTTCCGTTATACTTTTCTCGTCATCTTCAATCTTCGATCGCTTCGCTTCATTTTGTTTCTTATCCGAGTTATCGCGAATATTATTTGCTGTATCCAACGGTCTTTTCAGTGTTCTGGATGAGGGAACATCTGCTTTTACTTCAATTCGAGAATCCCCCAACCTACCACCAGAAGTCTCGATAGCAACTGGTTCCTTATTCGCATTTCCCGCTTGACTATCGTTTGGCTGTATTTTCTTTGATACAGTTTGATGAGAATCGCTGTGATCCAATCCAACGTCTGATTTAGCGTCATGACCTGCACTTTTTACAGACTTTTCTACACTTTTGGCTTGACTTGTATCTAATTTTTGACTAGACACAGATGGTTTTCCACTTTGTTTATGGAATGATTTATCATCCTTTGTACTCTTATTGGAAGACCTCTCCAGAGGTTGATTAACGCCCTGATCTTCTAAAAAGGAGGTCGTTGATGTCTTTTTCTTTTTCCTTTCTTCCTCTTGTTTAACCACAACTGTAGGCACAAATTCCCTTAATGATTTTCTTTTAGCTACCGTGACCTTCTGCAATTTCTTTAACACTTGGTCATGAAGCCAGTCTACAAACGGAGTTGTACAATTCTCTAGAAACAGATATAGATCATCGTGCATTTGTTGACGAGACTTTTTATTTACAACCATTACTAAAATATAATCTGGTAATTCTTCGTCGTATCTAACTCCTAATTCTAGTAATTTAGCACGAATGGCACTCTGAAAAAAGAATGATAAAGCATTCTTATTACTATGTCAACACCAATAACTCACAGAATATAATTTCTTGATTACGTTGATTTTAAACTGCAGAAGAACGGCTATCTTAAGGTATCGTTATCTGCATCGTTACACATACAATACTTTATATATTTTACATCATGTCTCGATCTTCTTATAATGATAATCCTTAAATTATGTAAAAGTATGAATAAATCTACTATAAGATTTATTTATTGTCATTGTGTTATCTTACACTCAAAATTCTTTAGGCTAACGCTACAAAAATTATTCCAAAGTTGATAGAACAACGATAGCAAATAATCGTCAGACAAATAATTAATAATTTTACAAGATGTTTTGCTCGAAGCAATTACAAACGGTCCGATAGCTAGAAAGATATAAAATGCCATAATAAAAGCGTAGATCGTTCACTTACTCGCAGTTGATTTGTAACTTCTATTCCTCGTATGTCCATGGCTGACAATTACATTAAACCTTTCAATAGTGTAGAATAAGAAAATGGTTTTTGAGACAAGAAACAGACAATATTAACGTCGTTCAAGAATAAAAACATCCTCTATCTGCCACGAAGGATCATGGATCAGAGATCAGAATGCCTCCTTCCAATGAAAAGACCCTGGTGTAATCAAGCTAGGAAACTGTGCAGTAACTTTTGTTACTTCAAATACATATACTGGACAATAATGAGTTCTACTTTACTTCGTTAGCGAGAGTCGACGAAAAAATTTTCTTTGCTCTTATTCGCTGATGATTCGCTTGTAAAGACAGGATCCACTACGGATTGCATGATAGGGATGTAAAATTATATAGGGATATGTGAGCCAGTTTAGGGAATAAGAAAGGGGAATAATTAGGGAGAAAGAATTAAGAGAGAAATAATTAGGGAATAAGAAGAGTATGTAAGTACAGTCATATCTCATTATAGTATAGTATATCTCATTATAGTAATACTATAATATAGTCATGCTTCTCTCATCATAGTATTTCTGGTTCACCATAGTATAGTCATGCTTCATCATAGTAAGCATTTTTATCCCCATCATTTGGGGTTCTATGTGAAAGGGTCCGTACGGACGAGAAACTTAACCATCACATTTTACCGTGCTCGCGGTCTCACTCTTCTCGCGCATCCGTATGCTTAGCGCTCCATCTGAAACACTTGGCGTGATATTCGACTTGTACGCACTTGTACAACATCATATTTGCAAACGTCTTGAAACGACGATCATTTCTGCAATTATTAAAATTTTCGAAAACCCGTAAGCTACATTTTAGGTAATGATTTTTGGTTTACGAAGGTTTACGAGAAGGATTCTAGAAAGCGACGAATAATCTCGCAATTTTATACGATTATTACTTTCAAAAATCTGAAAAACATAGCTGAAACTTGTGTTCGTATTCTTTCAGAAAGATTACGTATTTAATAATTAATAGCGTATTTAGTAATTAATAGCGCAATCTATGCTTTTAGACCCGACGTTTGAAAGTTGTGACATTCCTTTTTCAGGTAGTATCAATTTTGGTTGAATCGGTTGATGAATAACAAAGTCATAAAAACATTAACGATAACTGCGGAAGTTGTTTTCGCCAGAGCCCTGGTATATGCAAGACTTTAATGATTTTGGGACTGATCTAGCGATTTACAACCTATTCTTATTCACAGGCTCGCTTATTCAATAGTAACGGTCCCTTTCAGTGTCTTTTGCAGGTAAAAAGGTTCGTACTTAATCTATCTAAATGTGAGAGTGTCAACGCCTGAATAAAATGTAATTTTCTTTGTAATCGCAGACCCGCAATCAACACAGCCATTTCCTTATATTTCTAATTTCNATTAACGATAACTGCGGAAGTTGTTTTCGCCAGAGCCCTGGTATATGCAAGACTTTAATGATTTTGGGACTGATCTAGCGATTTACAACCTATTCTTATTCACAGGCTCGCTTATTCAATAGTAACGGTCCCTTTCAGTGTCTTTTGCAGGTAAAAAGGTTCGTACTTAATCTATCTAAATGTGAGAGTGTCAACGCCTGAATAAAATGTAATTTTCTTTGTAATCGCAGACCCGCAATCAACACAGCCATTTCCTTATATTTCTAATTTCTTTGCATACACAGCGCGACAAATAAGTTTCGAGACTCGGACCATACCTCGGTAATTAATAGTGCAATCTATGCTTTTAGACCCGACGTTTGAAAGCTGTGACATTCCTTTTTCAGGTAGTATCAATTTTGGAGTTCAATCGGTTGATGAATAATAAAGTCATAAAAGGATTAACGATAACTGCGGAAGTTGTTTTCGCCAGAGCCCTGGTATATGCAAGACTTTAATGATTTTGGGACTGACCTAGCGATTTACAACCTATTCTTATTCACAGGCTCGCCTATTCAATAGTAACGGTCCCTTTCAGTGTCTTTTGCAGGTAAAAAGGTTCGTACTTAATCTCTCTAAAATTGAGACTGTCGACGCCTGAATAAAATGTAATTTTCTTTGTAATCGTAGACCCGCAATCAACACCGCCATTTCCTTATATTTCTAATTTCTTTGCATACACAGCGCGACAAATAAGTTTCGAGACTCGGACCATACCTCGGTAATTAATAGTGCAATCTATGCTTTTAGACCCGACGTTTGAAAGCTGTGACATTCCTTTTTCAGGTAGTATCAATTTTGGTTCAATCGGTTGATGAATAATAAAGTCATAAAAGGATTAACGATAACTGCGGAAATTGTTTTCGTCCGAGCCCTGGTATATGCAAGACTTTAATGATTTTGGGGCTCTGTTCCATGCTAAAATTGATGATTTCTTGATTGTTCCGATCCTGGTCCATGCTAAAATTAATGTAAGTTCTGTTCCATGCTAAAATACAAAAGTCGGACATGGAGGTCCACAAACACAAAGTACTAGCACTGGTTAGCATTCCCATTTCCTCTGTGATAATATTAAAAACAAATTACATTGGAAATGCAGGTTTATTCTGATCACCCATAGCATTCATTGATTATGCATTAAACCCATGAACATTAGAACATATTGGTACAGCAGTACGATGTCGACATAAATTTGGACCGTTGCAAATATGACTTCATTGGGCTGCACCTCTATTCTTCTTCCACCCATAATTGTTTGTACATCGAAATATAAATACTAAAACATACATCGTAAAATATACCGTTTCGTTGTTATTAACGTTAAAATATTGTGTACCGTTCATAGGAAATACTTGTTCGATATTACCATTGATAACACGATCATTCCTATAACAGAAATTACAATGTGCAATACTCTAATGTATGTGAAGATGAGCACTATCATTATCACAACAATTCCAAGTATCGAAGCCAATCCAACGATCATCATGAGTCCCGTTCTCATCGTTAGATCAAACTGTAACGTGATTAAAAGTTCAAAGTTAAAAGCTAAAGTTAAAAGTTAACGATGGTATACCTTTCCTGTTCTTACGCAGTCGAAAGTACCTTCGAAAATGTTGCTAGTAGACCGATTCCAAACGTGATCGCCGATGTCATACCTAATGACATTAAGATGATTTCAATCTCGTATGTGACAGAGGCAAATGCAGCTAAATACGATAGGGCTAGTGTCTGCAAATGATAACATTTTAACGTTTGCTCCTTCTCTCATTGCCTTCGGAACATATTTTAACAGTCATTCCTTGAATAGTATCATTTATCTCACCAATTTGCACAGCCATATATAATTAAAAGGAGGCGTGCGTCTAGCACGTTCAGAACAAGCCACAGTGCAATAAGAAATAGTAAAGCATATACTGAAAAAGATAATGAATCGATCGATTGATTATAAAAATATATAAATATATATATATATATATATATATATATATATATATATAAATATCACCTACAATGCTATAATCCATATCCACCAATGTAGAATCATGAATTTTTTTGCAGCATCCCTGAAGTATGAGTAGAGAAGACTGTTAGGTCATTGAAACCAATGTTGTAATGTTAATAATTAATAATACTGACACAAAAAGAAAGATTGCTATAACAGCCGCCGTAAATATTAACTGAAGCGTCAATATTAAGAAGACTTTTCTGATGAAGCTTCTTCTCACTTCTTCATGCTTAAAATCGCCTACATAATCTGCTCCATCCCCGTTTGGTCCCATTGCTCTTCTTTCTTGTTGTTCACGCCAAGCTCTATACAATTCTTGATTCTCCCTTTCTCTCTGCGCCACCATTTCATCGGTGACAGTAACAGTATACGGTCCCTAATAATGAGTTAATGTTAATTAGAGTATTGTCTGTCATTCTGTTGCTCTACTCACTGTCTGAATTTTCTGCCCGCTGTACAATGGTGGTAACTGTGGAGGGCCTGGTATCAGTTGCTGAGTTGCTTGATCCCCTTGCATCGAATAATTAATGATTATTGTCACTGTCAAGTACATATATATATCAATGTTGCATCGAATTTGAAGCACTAAATAGACACGTCAATCAAATTTATTCAGCCCACTAACATGAAATTATAAAATCTTATCTTGATGTGTAAATTTCCTTTCTATCAGTTCTGAATATAGACGTGGAAACATTTGCAAATGAACAAGTGAACGGACACAAACATTATCAATACAACAAATACAATATAGTATTGTAATATGGAAACAGTTTTGCGTAGTGTCGGAATACTTAATGCAAGGAAACAATGAAATTAATAGAAAGCAAAAAGCCTTTTAATTATCATCGTATAGTACATTTCATTTATACAAACAATACGTAATAATACAGCTATGTGTGTGTATCTTTTTTTGTATGATGAGGTATTCTAAATTTTACAAGCTGTGGAAGAAGATATAACGAGTCACTTTTTAGATCATTTGCGTCGTGCAGTCTATTACCAAGGGCACGGTATGTAGCATACAATGTAGAAAACATGACCGACATAAATATGATACGCAACTGACCGAATGAATGGCCAAGTAACAAGTAATAAACTGTATCAAATATTAAATAGTACTGTGTACGTAAAAGTACTTCAATTCATTCTGTACACATATAATATAATGTTAACACAATTAGACAGGTACCTACGGAAGTATAATCGAATTTAGCGTGTGCGTAAATTACATTCTTATGCACTTCTCGTTTAATATTTACATCGCTGCTGAATCGTATAATATATATATATATGCCTCTGTTAAGTGTTTGTAGTACACTCAGCAATAAAGAATAGTACAACAATGATGGTTTCATGCTGTGCAACACAGATTAGAATTTAAGACCAGCACAGTGTGCGATAAAAAAAAACTAACAATAGACATTAAAAATATAGAAATTCTCAACCAACATGTGATTGTAACAAGAATAAAGGTACTACATACTGACTCTCTTCTAATCTCGGATGATTCCGATTGAACATCAGTCTTGTAAACAGTGTTTGTAGAAAAACCTTTTTTTTATAATATGTAGATCCACGAAGTTTTGTTTGCTAAGCTTACTATGTGTTTAGAATGCCAGGCACTATTAGTTTAATGGATTTTACTTAAATATTCAATTATGCGGCATATCTGACTTTTTCTTCAATTTTTTTTCGCCGTTATAGACCGCATTGTGTAATTTGCTTTTCGATCTTACTGAACAAAATCTGTTGACAATAAAAAAAATGTGTTAAAATTTAACGTACTTTTTATAATATAACGTAACTATTACGACTAACCTGTCGCACTGTGGGATCCTGTATTAAAAGTATTTTTGATTGATCTGCGCTACCAAATATTTTTCCAAGCTTTCTCCTCTTAGTGACGTCTTTAATAGTAATTTGAATACCTCTGTCGACTAATTTTGGCAGTTCACCAATTTCTTGCCATGTATAAGTCCAGTCCACCTAAAAGATCATTATGCGTGACTGCATTTACGTTCAAAAAATATACCATGCCTAGATAACTAATTACGAACTGATACATTAATATCTCAAGTTTAAATTCCAGGCAGAATTCATTGCGGATTGCATGCCCAGTAAAATTGCAAAAACTAAGAAAAGTAAAAAGGTGGTGCAAAACCTGAGCTATTATTGTATCCGATTGCCAGGTAGATTCGCATGACCCGAGATGGGGAATACCTATTGTAAGCATCTTACAATTAATTGTATTCCACCTTTAGGCTTGAGCGAATCGATCTGTCGATCGGAATGCGATAATGGTTGCAGTGGGGATTATGTATCGTCAGCTCGTGAACAAAAAGTTGACTAGACTTGAAATCTACCAACCCTCCATCCACCAAATAAATCACAATGTTCCAAGTATGCTATCCTCTTGTCCGTGAGTAAAATTACATCTTTAAAAATGTACGCATGGTAGAAATAAATATCCGTGGTTGAATATTTTCCTTTTTCTAATTCCTGCCGAAACAATCATTTATGAGACCTGACAATTGTACGATTCATAAAAATAAAAAATCTCTTATACGTACAGTTAGAATTTTATGTCCCTCAGCTCGTTCTCTTATGTACGGCCTGACTAAATTGTCTGGCTGGAAAAATCTCGGTGGTCTCACCCTCTTTACTTCTTCATTTAGTTCTGTTGCTCTAAAATGTAATTCGAACCATTTAATTGACACTCTTTAATTATTAATAAAATGAGTAAATTCCCTTATACCGTTTCACTGCTCCTAGCGATCCGCTAGCAAAGTCTATAACGCCAGCAGTTGGTCTAGTAACGAGACCTACGACACCCTTTCCGAATCCTTTGAAAAAGCCTTCCACCCCTTCTTCTTTGGCGCCCGATATAGGCTTCATTACGACGCCAGTTACGCCATCAAACACCCCCTACAGTGTTGACCATTTTTTTCGTGTATATTTATATTTAATCATTTCATCGTCCTCATTTTGTACGTACCATTACTAAACCTTTACCACTCCGAGCGAGACCTTCTTGCAAGTTAGAGGGTTGTTTGTTCAATTGTTCCTGTCGTTTCCTTTGATAATCCTTGTCGAACGTAAGAGCAGCTAGACCTTTGCCTAATATCGTAAATATTTTCATTATGAAACGAACAGTCACCAATGATAGTAACAGTATTTAATAATTGAACTAAAAATTGTACCCATGGCTCCGGTAATTTTTGAAACGGCTCCAGCCATTCCGCCAACGGTGTGACCTAGCATACTTCTTACACCAAGAAATAGTCCTTCTGCAAATTCTCCAGGTCCTTGTATAGCACCTTGAAAGGGTTCATAAAACAGGTCCTCGATTCCTTTCACAGTACCAATTACAAGCCCGTAAGGATTGCCGATCACGTCGAGTCCTAAAACGAGGACATAGGCTTGTTTGATCGCTTGGCCTACGTAATGCACTGTTGCTTCAGAAATTAGTTGTTTAGTGGTCATGAAAGTGTAATCCCTTTCGAAGTATGCTAATCTATAAAAAGGAAAAATTAGTTATCGCGATCGTTTGGTTAACGGTAATTATATGAGACAATTACTTGAAAACAATGTCGTTGATGTCTGTCAATGTAACACCAATCCCTTGCAATAACACGTTTAATACTTGAGGCACTGCCGATGGTCCACTGCTACTCCCAGACATTGAAAAACTTATGTGTATCTAAGGAATGTAGTAAAGTAATTGCAATGGAATATGTACGATTAAACGCATGTTTTCCTAAAATCTTGGTAACAAACCTTCAGCGGAGAGAAATGAAGCAAATCAAAGAAGTTCTTCTGTTCCGCTGTTGTAATTAGGCTGACGTGGTACATCAACGGCTTGTCAACTAGTTTCATATCTATCTTAAATAATTCAATCTGAAATACATAAATAATTATTATTAGAAAGTACATTTACTAAAGGGAATAGTACGACTAGAACTTACTTCTTCTGTATCGTTTACTTCATTTGCCTCCAACAATCCCATTATTGCATTAATGAATACGATATCCACTTTCACATGGAATTCCTGTATGAGAACTTTGAAGTATCGGAACTGTTGTACACTGCTGTGCTCTAATAACCGTTTGACCATACTGAGTTCAGCAAACGGTTTCATGACTGTTGGATGCAAGTATAAAATGATCGATAAATGGTACGAAATATGTGTAATCAGAAAAAAGAAAAAATGACATACCGGTACTTTGAGTGACACTCTTTGGAGGTGGTACAGGGGCTAAGATGACTGGGAAAACACAATCTGTGAGTTGGTTGTCTACTTGGAGTCTGTTGATCTTTGCGTGCAGTTGCACTTGATGCATCGAAGTTCGGTATTGCAACCATAGCCCTGTTTGGAAGGTTCGTCGCAGAAGTCTACGGTGCGGTTTCAACATTTCCATGTTCATGTAATCAATCTAAAATCACATCATTCATTGTGTCGAATTCTGTACAATTTAATCGGCACAATTGCGTTCGTAATTTCGATTACCTCTAGTTTTGGTTCGAGTATTAGTTTCTGCGACGGGTCTTTTCCTATTTGCAATTCTCGAATATATTTCTGGTAGCCTTCTTCGATTATGTTCACCTCGTTTGTGTTAAGACCTCGCCAGCGATGGGCCGCAGATTTACTTGTTTCCCAAATGATTCCAGAACTACGTTGAAATAATAATCGAATGAATAAATAAAGTTATGTATCGGTTACTTGCGCATGAACTTTTACAAAGACTGTTTACCTAGCTATACACATGTACAGTAGTTCTGATTTCGTTATGTTGTTCACAAGCGACAGTCCAACTCCGTGAATACTTATTGTCACTTCTTGTTCTATCGTTTCGAAGTCACCGGCCAATTGACAGTCCTCTGCAATCTTCATGTTCGACGTAAATAGAAGTACTCGTTGAGTACCATCCAAGAATGATACATAAAATATTTCTTCCTCTAGATCTGGCAGTTGGAAAGCACCTAAAGTGTCCTAAAAGATAGATTTTTGAATAATAATAGTAGTAGCAGATATAGTAGTTAGAATTTCACAGGCTACCTTTCTCAGGGTGTCTTCAATTTCCTTTTTATTATTGTCCTCCCATACTATCTTCTTTGGACCTGCAGGATTCTCCCAAGTGTAAAACATTTTATTGTATGACTGTACAGATCTGAAAGAAATTATAGTCTTGGCATCGTGGGAACTACTTGTCTCTTAGCCTTGAACAATACTATATAATTTTTCCAAGTCAGATGCATACCTTACATTCAGCGAACCCTTTTCCCAGAATTGAATGGTGTGAGATGTGTGATTAATGATTAACGCTGGAGCATTTCCATAAGTGTAAACGGATAGAGAAATGTAAACTCCGCCTTCGCTGACTTGTATGTCCACGTTGATGCCACCATACTGTTAACAAATACCTTTAACTTGATGTGTGAACGAATATTAATGAGGAGGAGGATCCATCCAGTCCACAACCTTGATGATGACAAATAAAACCGATTTCCTATATCTACAGTTTCAATGTATAAACAATAATAAATAATTTTGTTGACAATTTTTTACAGAAGGAAAATCGGTTTAATTTATCATTGTTAAACTTTTGGATTGGACGAGCCCCAGGCCCTTGGGAGTTCTAGGATAAAAATATCATTTAGGAGCAAACCTTATTATCTAATTTTAGTAAAGTTGTATGGCTCTCGGTGTAAATGAATGGTGCAGTTGTTTCAGGTTCATCTACAATCTTAGCTCTTAATGTTTTTTGTTCAGTTTCAGAACGAGGCCAAAGAGATGTACATTCACCGGGAGGAATCTAGGATATAATATAACGCTATAGTGTATAACATGTGAAAATTTTAATTAGGAAGGAAATTTCATTTTTTTGAACAATTACCTTGAACATCGGATCGGCTGGTCTATCACCTTCTTGACATTCGATAAGGAAATTAGAATTATTTATAATTACATAGTACGGTGTAAATGTAATCTGCTTTGTTAAAGAATTATAGGTCAGTTGGTTGTGAACTCCGATCTATAAAACATAAAGGATATTAATTCATTTCTTTGATTGCATAAATAATCTTTTGATGCCTTAATATAAAAGTTAGTTTAATGTTTAGTTAAATAAGAACCTGGTATGTCAACCCATTATATTTGCAAGCAACCATTCCCTCGCTTCCAGCAGTGTCGATTGGAAACTTATCAGACCATTCTCCATCTTCCACTCTGATCATTGCCTTTTTTTTACCAAAGAATACTTTCGAGCGGAATGAGAATAGTATGGGTCCTTTGAAATTTTCTGGGTGGTACAATACATTTAAATAGTCATCTCCGCTCTGAAAATATTTATACAATGAAATGCCTACGATAATGTTGTTTGACACATGTTTTAGCAAATTACTTGAGACGTGCAAACGAAATGCAATTAAATTTATTCACTTTAGTTTGTATAACATTGTTCATTCAAAGGAACAATGTTATACGTTATTACATTGTTATACAAACGATTACAATGTACATAAAAATTTGCCAACACCAGTTAACAATTTAGTCCTGTAAACTCATGTACCTAAATTTTTCTGATCTCGTAATTCTTTCGTTTCATATATAAACATATTTTCAAGAATTTTGTATAAGAAATTAACTGCAGTGATTGTGTAGAAGCATTTAGACTTAGCACACGCTTGTTAATTAGGCCTCTATGGAAGAAATGTGAGTAAATGCAACAATTTAGAGGACCTGCGAGATGAATCGATCACAAATGGAACTATGGTGATGTGTCCTTTTAATTTTCGTATGTCATATATATACACGTGGAGTTAGTAAAGCATTGTATGCAATATCTAATCGTTAATTCTAGTAGTAGGTTTAGTTAAAAAGAAAGCATCGATTAGGACAGAATAGGGGTTACTATACATTAACAAGGAAATATACACAGTTACACTCATTTCACCAGATTACGTAAACTATATGATCGCATAGTGTAACAAGGAATCAACGTCACCAATATAAAATGAAAATAATGTGTATCGTCACCGAACGTGCTTTCTTCTTCCTGTACTCTGCACGTTGTCGATGGGGTTTCCTGACACAAAGCAAATTCTGAAAGATACCTTTCTATGAATTTTCATGTTATCTTTTAAGATTGAAATGATCATTTTAATTATATGGAAGCTTCCTCAAATTTATGATTCTACGATTCACGAGCCTTGTATTCTATATCTGTATGTTGCATAAATGAAACTGAACATGTTCATGTCATTTAGAAACGGATTAGAAAGATTCGCATGCTATAAATTGCGCCCAGAAGAAAACACATAAAATGTTCTCACTTTCAAAAGAATACTTTTCAAATGAATCTCTCATCTACGTAACAGTCTCATCTCAAAATGAACTACATAGAATAATATAACCATCACTGTATGATAGTGTTCATTTAGTAGATATATCCATATAGCTTAAAAGCATGAAAAGGTACTGTAACATGATATCACTACCTTGGTTGGACTTGAGTGTTCTTTGCCACCCTTACTTGATTTCTGTAAAATAATGTATTGTATAAGATACGACCAGATTGATCGAAAGAATTTTGCAACATTATACTACGTCCAGCATGCACAAGACAGCACAACGATTACGGATCGCATAAATAGTCAAATTCAAGCATAGGGGAGTCGAATGGCATGCCTAACGCACACACCATAACTACTAAGGCCGTCGTCGTCGTCGTTGTGATCATTGTTTTAATTAAAATAATCTGTACTGATGTTGCGCAGTTATTAATTGAATTCTCATAAAAAATGAAGAATAACTTACAACAAAGTATAAGCAAAAATAGGTACGAAATTTACAGAAAAACTGGCTGTTTGAAAGAAACATGTATAATAAGCAAAATATACACAAGCCAACAATTGGAAATTATGGCCAATTATTTCGTTGTAAAAGGTGAATTAAGTAAGAACATGTTTCGCTGATACTCACCCGATAAGACAACATTAAACCTGTTTTATTCAACATCCAAAATGGACAGTATAATGCCATAACGATAGATCCATGTTTGTAGGATGTGTGCATTCCCAAATCCATTATAACTTTTTGTGCACTATCGAATGATTCGAAGGACCAGACTGAGAATTCTGGCGGGTTTGCAAGTATTTCGCCTCTGCATGACCAGTCTTTCTCTAAATAATTTGGTAGCTACAACAAATTATTGAAGTTAGTCATTAATTTGTTTTGTAAAATTTAAATCTGTAACTGTACCTTGATAACTATGTGAGATTTTCCAGGATCGATTGTAGGAATTTGATATGATGTACCTGCATCCAATAACTTATCTTGGAAAGTCCCAGGAATGGACACAATAATGTCAATAGGGAGGAAATTTTTCAAGTACACAGATGGATACAAATGAACATTGTAAATAGTACTAGCCATCGTATGTCGACTCGTGTTCTCAAAGTAGACCTGTTCTATTTCTCCTACAACCTGCAAATGATTCGGTATACCATTAGAACGGCTCTTGTTGCGTACAGATCGTATTGCTTATTTTGTTAGATTTTATGCTATAATACTATATTACACTATCATTCTTTACATAAATATCTACGTCAGTAAAATTATTTTCAACGTTGCAGCATATACCATTCTAAGTAACAAGAATGAAACGCAAGATTCATGCAGTTAACATATTACAGTATGTATGTAAACGTATTACAGAACAAATATTAATGATATAAAATGTATCATCAACATCTTCTGCGTCTACATATATTGACTTCATGGTGTTTTGTTTTGTACGAGATGAGTATGTGTAGCAAAACAAGAAATAAATAACGAATAGAGTTCTCTGCTAAGTAACATCTAATCATTTAGTATTATCTGAATAACAAAATCAACTCTTAATCGAGGAGAAGAATAAAACAGAACAGGAGGACAATCTAAGAAACTTATACAATATTCTTGCAAAATATGTCAGAATTAAAGAATAACCGTTGTCCACTCCGTTGTTTATTCTCCTTTCTGCATTTGTTTATTGTGTTACATTAACAATATAATATACAACTAGCAACTGCAGTATATGCTATTGTGTTGTCTGCTGCAAATACACATTCACATTTAAGTTATATAATATTAAACTATCTAACAGTGATAGGAAAATACATATTTGTTTGATACCCAAATAAATACCTAGATCACAAACCTTTTTCAAATCTAATTAGGAAAATGGTAGTACCTGAATAGGTGCTTTCACATATTTTGGGTGTTCGGAAGGTAAACTTTTCAAGCAAAAACGCTTGATATAATCAACGAAATGACAGAATATGGATCGCCAGTTAATAGCATCAAATAATAAGCCAACAGTGTTGTTATTATATAAAATACTACCAACCACAATCATCACGCAAAACATCTAAAAGTAAAAACTGCTGCTTATGTAACATAGAAGTATGTAATAGTGTTTCAACGAAACCGTCTGTATATATACATAGTTCAAATTAAATGCCTATTCGTATAATCAGTGCTTAGTTAGACGCACAGAGTGCACTTTTAATTGAATAATGATAGTATCAACATAATTAGAACATAATAAAATAGTCGGCTAAAAGTGTCAATGTGTAGAAATATTAATATAGTGAATTACCTTTATGTAGAACGGTTCTACTATTTCCTGCTTCGTGCGGCTTTCACATTTTAGAAGTTTTGTCATAGACACTGTCTTTTGCAAATCTTTCCAAACGAATGGTTCTATCGACACCATATACCTATGAACCAAATGGAATATACATGTGACTGCACTTCGAATGGCTGACTAAATTATAAGTATTAAAAGTATCGTATTCAGTTATATTACTTGTCAACGCTGAAAAATAGCCAATAAGTGTTCGTTGGAGTGTACACTGCGTCTAATGGAAGATTCAATTTGCTATCTGGAGCGACAGTGCCCACACATTCAACTTCATTTCCACGTCTAGTCATGTAATATACAGATATTGGGTCACTGAAATGATTGTGCACCTAAAACACACGTAATATTATTCTAATAAGTTCATTAAATTGGTAAACGGTTATCAGTAGAAATGAGAGAGAAGCGAACCTGTAGAATACTTCGAAGAGTTACAATAGTGCTCCCTTCATCCACTAAAACATCAGATACGATTCCCCATTCTTCAGAACTTTCCTTTCGATATCTCAAAGAAAAGAACCTCTTGTCGGCTCTTAGAACCGGTATAGCCAATGTGCAGCCGATTTCTTTAAACTTTCGGAAATATTGTATATGAATTAAATTGAGAATGTTATTTTTTTCGCTTAATTTCACCACGAATAAGAGTAGCATTAAAATAAAATCTATCCTACCGAAATAACGAATTTATCATCTTCTTTTTCTTTAATCGAATCAGCCTTCAGTTGATCCAACAGGGGCGTTTCAATTTTCGTTGTTTTAGAAGCAAGTTCCACTGATGCGCCAGTCTCAAGGATTACTTCCATGTATGAGTCAGTTTTTTCTCCTGTTACTTTTGACCTATCATCAAATACCTACAATAAAATTCATGATACAATGCTCGAGCTTCTATGAGTTTCAGTCTAGCAAGGCTTTGTAAACTAATTGCAAAAGACACCTTAAAGTGACTGCGTTCTAAATCTAAAACCATAGCCAAACCGGTTTCGTTTTTCAGCACATATGGTGCAAGGTTTTTAGCAGTTCCTTTTTCACCAGCAGTCATCGCAGATGAGAATGCATTGCCAAGCTGCTTGAGCACGTCCAGACAAGTTTTGGTCACGGTTATTTCCAGATTTTCCTGTTGCAAAAGCATATCGTTAAAATGCATAGATACAATTGTTTAAATATGACTTACCGAAGACTCTATATCAATAGACATTTTCGCTGTTTGGTGCCATTCGTCCGGTTCATTCTCAGAAGTTGGACTTGCTATGCTAGCTCCTCTAGAGCCTATCGCGATTTCATTAAATTGTACCTAGCAAATAACGATAGAAAAGCTATCAAGATTATATAATTTAGTCAAGTAATATAAGATATACGTTACTTTTGTTTTCAATTCCCATGGCGTAGAAATACGTTTTCCATTCTTCATTCCCTCTACAGGCTCGATTAAGGGTTCCCACAAAGCAAGGCAACTATTATAATATGCCATAATCAACGACATCGTAGCTTCCACATTCATCTGGAAGCATTCACCTTTTTAAGCGAACGTCACGAAGATATATATAATCATTAAGAATACTATTACAATTCTTACCGACTTCGAGCTCCAATCATTGATATTGCTTTGAAATCCAATATGAAGCAAAAGCATGGGTAGGGTTTTATTGCCAACACCTGCCTCTAATGTGAATAAAATCGTTGGTGCAGAAATTATTGCCAGTTCTGGTTTGTAATCTGCAGTAACCTCGTCGTCAGAATATACAAAATCCTCTAAAGCTTCTACCCCGAATTCTATTAAAAAGAAATAGAGTTATAATAACATATTGAGACATTGTAAAATTACCAGTCCACGATATAATATGATTTATCACAATTGTGTAATGTAAGATGCGTATGCATTTACCTGTTTTGAGGAACCAAAAATCACCCTCCTCGTATGGTGTTATAATCCACAATCCTTGACAATTTGGTTCAGAAATCTGATCCTCTTCTTGATCTTTTACTTCCGTTTTCGTAACAGTGTGGACAACTTTATTTAATATTTCTATCACACCTGCAAGCAAAACATTAGAGAATGATTATGTTTCAGAAATTCAGTTTCTTCGATTGTGCGATTAATGTACCTGGTGACACCGATACGTGAATATCGGTACAACAAACATCTATATGAAGACCTTTCCCTTCTGGTGTAGAGCCAGCTACGCTAATACTGCATGGTCTTAGAACCTTTGGAGAATAATCAATCGTATATTCTGTGCCAGAAAATTATGGAATTTAAAAGAGGAAACATATTCAAAATTTTACCTGATATATCCAGTCATTCCTCTTCGCTGGATTGTATATACCAGCCAGAATCGACAAATCTTTTATAGAACCAGTTATCACTTGGTGTTCACCCATTAATCGTACTTTTAAGATCAGTTCAGTCTTAAAAATAAAAATAATAATATATAATATCTATAAAATGTGAGAAAAACTTGGATAAACATTTATTACATTCAATATGAGGCAATTTGAATTGATGTCATCCATGTCTTCGAGTAATATAATATCCGGCTTCTCGATGTGCAGATTAATAGTGAACATTGTTTTATTTGGTGCGGCAGGAGTATGTTTTTTCTTTGCTACTCCTTGGTATGTTGGTTTACTTATCGATGCCTCCTCCTCGGTGGTAAAGAAATCCTTAAGTTTCATTAAGTAATCAAGGGATACGATTATACTAAAGGAGAAAACTTTGACATCGACTGCAAGTAAGAAATTTTGTCTCGTAAATTAATTCATTTGAATCAGATTTAAAAAGTTATCATTAAATCTTACCAAAGATATCATTTAAGCTTTGTTTAATGGTCATGTCTAACATACTGCGAACCGATTTAGACTCTACTTCCACTTCATTCATAGTGGGTAGAGTCATTGTTCTTTCCATGATTCTAATCAGAGAACCTTGTCTACTGTGGCGTGTGTCATCTAAAGTACAGTTCATAAGGAGAATCGAAGTTGCCATTAAACCGTCGGCAAATATTCTACCTTTCAGTGCAAAATGAGTTAAACAAAACTTTGCCAATCCATTCTCTGGTAGATGTAACAGGGAACTTTCAGATCGTAGCTGAAATTTATTTTTATATTTCAAGCTAAGATGATTTCGAGTTGAAATAAACAATACTAATTCTTACGTTAATACCAAATTACCATTTTAGAACCGCCGGTATATAAATTAATTACAAGACTATCCATGATAAATTCAAATTTAATGGACGTATGTGCATGTACTTGTTCCTGAAACTCTATACTTTCAGCTCCTGTTGCGGCAGTCATTTCAAGTTTATCTGTTTAAAAAATATTGTAATCAATTGATTATATTCTCGACCGCAGATCCATGATGAAGTATTATTTGACCTTACCACTTTGATGATGCTGAACTTCGACCTCAAGCTTCTTGTCAGTTTGTACACTACCTTGAATAGGTTTCGTTTCTTCGACCTTCTCACCTAAGTTCTCTTCTAATACTTTGAGCGCAGTCACGTAATCTTCCTTACTAATCAGCAGGTTAATTTTATTTAATCTGCCAGACATGTCGATATCCGGAATAGAAATAAACCAATCGGTTGATAAATTGCGTTTAATAAGTAACGTGAAACTAACTGGTTCTAGCAGCAATATTTCATTCTCAACCGTAAATTGGTCCATGTTCAACTTCACCCTACGAAGATACAATAGAGTAAACAACACACACACACACACACACACAGTACTGTCGATTACTTGAGTGGAATTCGCAATAATTACCTAGATAATTTCAAGTTTTGCAACTCGATCTTCATTTCATCGACAATTGGACAATCTCCTGCCTCATTTGTGACCTCCAATTTTTTAAATACGTTGCAGACAGTGAGATTACCCATGTCCAGCGTTAAACAATGATTGCTCTTCGAATGCATCGGTACATATATAACAGGAGCCTTAATTTTTACTGCAAGCCCAATGCGTGTTGCACTTTCCTGTACATCTTTAATGTTTGTTTTTGCAGCTTCCGCAGCTGCAGCTGATGCATTCTTTATAGCTTGTTGCGCGGCTTGGAAGTTATTTAAGAAACTCATTATACTGGCGAGAAACATATTTAAGAAGACGATGCGATAGCAGCCCATCAGTACAGTAATAGACATATTATTTTTGTCGATCTCTGATGGCTCGATATTATACATTATAATCTGAACTTGCAAAGATTCGGTGTTCTCCGTTACCGATACAATGTCTCTGTAAGCTGACGCAGCATTAAGGTCTATAATACTGATGGAGGATAAATTAACGTTCGCTTGAGAATAAGAAGCTTTCATTATAAATCCTACCGTGATCCCATCAACGTAAAATGCAGTGATCTCTTTGCATTCACTAACCATCTTCATACGAATAGTTCCAACCTTAGTCTGAATCTTCAAATCTATATGTTCGATCATTGTTCTCTTTCTACGCGTTGATCGAAGCTTCTGTCTTTGGATTTGTTCCCTAAAGAAAGTAGACGTTTCCTCTTGAATGGAGGTCAAATGGCTTACTTTTGGACGTACTGGATGTTGTTCTACATCCGCCACACTTTTTGTTACCAAATTCATTTGATCTTGCATGTACGTTGCAAACCGTAGAAGACTTATCAACGCTTCCTGATGTAGTAAAACGTCCAACGTCGTGAATTCTAGCTTCAACAATTTAATAACGGATCCGTGTCTCGTTGTGAAATCTGGGGATCGCTTGTTCACGTTTATATATTGCATTGTTATTAGGTACTCGTTTTTACCAGACGTCATAGGCGTGTTCACCATAAATATTTCCGCTTCGTTATGGTGTTGTTTCACTTGAACACCGCCCAATCTTAACAATATCTCTTGGTCGTACGTTCGCTGCACCATTTCGGCTTCCACTTGCAGTATCTCGAATTTTATAAACGGCGTTATCGCATCGTCTTTTTGGGACGAAACCAGCAGCGCAAATTCTTTCATGACAAATTTCATTTCTAAATCGATGGTTTGCTTAACGGTCTTGACTTCTTCTTTCTTCTTCTCGGAAATAGTGGAAATGGTCGCCAGCTCTTTGAACAGAGACAGTTGAGAAGTAGATTTGCTAAGTGCGGATTTCCGAAGTTCCGTCGGTTCTTCCTCTTTCGGCAATGGCATGCTCTGAGCGATAGACAGTACTTCCAACAAGCGATTGTCGGTGATATTGATTACGAGCGATGGTAATTGACCGATAAGCCTCAGCTTCGGAAGCAGAGGATCATCGGTGATCAAGCATTTGTGAAATTGTATTTCAAGCGTGGTTGGATGCAATAATGTCATAGAGTCGTGAACAGTTGATAAAATTGTGCGCCATTCTTCACCCGGAAGGGAAACTATTACTTGAACGTTAACTATTTTCAGAACAAATTTGTCATAACTGTGCTCTCTGAGATGCAACAGAACGTCCTCTTCGCTTTTACCCATGCTGATCAACTGTTTAACAGACACATTTGACTTATCCTCTTTTGGCTTCTCTAACGAGTGTATCTTTAAGCTACCAAGATTAACTACTAACAATGACTTTGTGCTGTTGTAAAATCCACCGTGCGGAATGATCAACTGTGACGCCTGCATGTCGACCTGTTTTAAGTAAAGAATGTTTGCTTGGTATTCAATACTGACGGAATTTGTGTCGATCAATATTATTATGATACAGTAGATTCTCTCAAATAGTCCCTCAGTTTGGAATAAAAAATGGACAGAGAGAGAGAGAGAGAGAGAGNCATTATACTGGCGAGAAACATATTTAAGAAGACGATGCGATAGCAGCCCATCAGTACAGTAATAGACATATTATTTTTGTCGATCTCTGATGGCTCGATATTATACATTATAATCTGAACTTGCAAAGATTCGGTGTTCTCCGTTACCGATACAATGTCTCTGTAAGCTGACGCAGCATTAAGGTCTATAATACTGATGGAGGATAAATTAACGTTCGCTTGAGAATAAGAAGCTTTCATTATAAATCCTACCGTGATCCCATCAACGTAAAATGCAGTGATCTCTTTGCATTCACTAACCATCTTCATACGAATAGTTCCAACCTTAGTCTGAATCTTCAAATCTATATGTTCGATCATTGTTCTCTTTCTACGCGTTGATCGAAGCTTCTGTCTTTGGATTTGTTCCCTAAAGAAAGTAGACGTTTCCTCTTGAATGGAGGTCAAATGGCTTACTTTTGGACGTACTGGATGTTGTTCTACATCCGCCACACTTTTTGTTACCAAATTCATTTGATCTTGCATGTACGTTGCAAACCGTAGAAGACTTATCAACGCTTCCTGATGTAGTAAAACGTCCAACGTCGTGAATTCTAGCTTCAACAATTTAATAACGGATCCGTGTCTCGTTGTGAAATCTGGGGATCGCTTGTTCACGTTTATATATTGCATTGTTATTAGGTACTCGTTTTTACCAGACGTCATAGGCGTGTTCACCATAAATATTTCCGCTTCGTTATGGTGTTGTTTCACTTGAACACCGCCCAATCTTAACAATATCTCTTGGTCGTACGTTCGCTGCACCATTTCGGCTTCCACTTGCAGTATCTCGAATTTTATAAACGGCGTTATCGCATCGTCTTTTTGGGACGAAACCAGCAGCGCAAATTCTTTCATGACAAATTTCATTTCTAAATCGATGGTTTGCTTAACGGTCTTGACTTCTTCTTTCTTCTTCTCGGAAATAGTGGAAATGGTCGCCAGCTCTTTGAACAGAGACAGTTGAGAAGTAGATTTGCTAAGTGCGGATTTCCGAAGTTCCGTCGGTTCTTCCTCTTTCGGCAATGGCATGCTCTGAGCGATAGACAGTACTTCCAACAAGCGATTGTCGGTGATATTGATTACGAGCGATGGTAATTGACCGATAAGCCTCAGCTTCGGAAGCAGAGGATCATCGGTGATCAAGCATTTGTGAAATTGTATTTCAAGCGTGGTTGGATGCAATAATGTCATAGAGTCGTGAACAGTTGATAAAATTGTGCGCCATTCTTCACCCGGAAGGGAAACTATTACTTGAACGTTAACTATTTTCAGAACAAATTTGTCATAACTGTGCTCTCTGAGATGCAACAGAACGTCCTCTTCGCTTTTACCCATGCTGATCAACTGTTTAACAGACACATTTGACTTATCCTCTTTTGGCTTCTCTAACGAGTGTATCTTTAAGCTACCAAGATTAACTACTAACAATGACTTTGTGCTGTTGTAAAATCCACCGTGCGGAATGATCAACTGTGACGCCTGCATGTCGACCTGTTTTAAGTAAAGAATGTTTGCTTGGTATTCAATACTGACGGAATTTGTGTCGATCAATATTATTATGATACAGTAGATTCTCTCAAATAGTCCCTCAGTTTGGAATAAAAAATGGACAGAGAGAGAGAGAGAGAGAGAGAGAGAGAGAGAGAGAGAGAGAGAGAATAGCACAAAAACAATATGAGCAGACCCCTACCAAGGGACTATAGAATTTACTGTATCTCTAGATTAAATGCTTGATACGGATATTTTACGAGCGTACAATTTATTTTAGAACAACAAAGATTTTCATGAATAAAATGAAATACCGTTTTACCTGTATATCTAATACTGAATGCTTCTGAATGGCGTGTTCTAAGCCAAGTGCCGACATTTCCTTAAAACCCTCAAGCTGCTCTGCAGCAGCCGCTTGAAGCCTGCACAAAGAAAGTAATAAATTGATTCGAAGAAATTAGATACATCTCGTACAATTATAAAAGATAGCAATCTTACTGATTTAGAGTCGAAGAGTTTTGTACTTTAAACAAATTAACTAATTCTATCACAGTTTGTGCATCGTAAATAATGTCCACCGATGTCGACCTCACTATAACACGATCGCCGCATAACTTATCCAAAGGATTTTTTTCGTACGATACATATATTAAAACTTGTTCTGCACTGTGTTCATGAGAATTGAAAAGCGAAGGGACGTGATCATTCTGTTTCGTTCCCAGAAGCTTCATTTCATTGATCGACGCTGTAACTCTGTAACGAAAGACATGATCGGTATTTGAATTTAATTGTATTGCGGCTGAAAATAATTGTTAAGAAATGTATGTACAATATAGCATTTGCGGATGGTCTCGAATTGAAGACAGCTTCAACAACGTGAAGTTGAAGATCCAATATACACGGGTAATCTTTGTCTGTGTCTAAAAATATTATCTGAAGTTCGTGGAGAAGGAACCGGGTGTCTATCATCACGAATGTTTCAGGATAATGAGTTGGTGCACTGTTTTCTTGGTAATCAATCGCTCTGTATAATTTCTCTTTTTCTTGTTGTGTCATCGCCTGCTCGAATTTTCGCACTGAAGAAAAAAACATTTTTTTATACAAAGAGAAAAAATTAACTAGAAGATAAATATTTGGTCACTCACTTATTGCTGCCGCCGAATTTAAGTCTTCAGCTTCCTCCGCTTGCGAAGAAGACCAGAGGAATCCAAACCATCCACGCTTCGCCTTCAGACTCTTTTCCTTTTCTGCCAATCTTTCTACCTGTAAAGTACAGACTGAATATAATTTCTCTTAAGTAAATTACAAAGATACACGTGCGAGTATTATTAATAATAATACGAACTTCCATTTCGATTTGCTGCCTAATGATCACCAAGTTAAAGATGTCCAATCTTTTTTCGCACTCTGTGAGGCGATCTTCTATCTCCCGTGCAACTTTCTTAACTGTTAATTTTGTCTGATACACCTCTGCATATTCGCGACATAGATCTCTGTGCTCTTTCATGTGATTCCAGTCCCAATTCCTACGATTTCTGCGTACTGTTTCTTCCAGGACACAAATATAAGTGAAATGCCACCTTAAAACAAAAGATTGCATTGTATTTGTAATTAAATTGTCACCGTAACTAATGACAATTTATAATGATTTACTACCATTCTTTATAGTGTCCTCTGTATGATGTTAAATTCGGCCTATACTTTCTATATGGCGCTGCTCTCTGAGCTTGATCTAGACCTTCGCCTAATTGTACAAGGGTGTGATACTGTTTCTTCGTTAGTCCTATCCTCAATTTTTGCATTTCCAAGTCCACCCACACCTTGGGAATAGTGTAATTACTGCCGTCTGTTTCCGGCTTCGGATTTAACTTTAATTTTGCGTTCACGTTTATTGGGCCCAACACTAAAAAACGGGAGGTTCTATAATTTCGAGAAATATACAGGATGTCCTAAAAATGTTGAAATCAAATTAAATTGATTATACTATATTGATACTATATTTATTATTATTTCATCCTTTATGAATGAATGACCAATCAGAGGGCGAGTACAACCTACAGCCACTGTCTGACAGCGGTCAGCACGTACTGGCTCTCTGATTAGTTCGTAGAAGTGTATTTAAATGACTTCAGGAATTATCCATTTCATTTGATTCAAACATTTTTTGGACACCCTGTATAAACTACTCATGGCAATGATACTTTATATGTATATGCTCACAATATTGGTAACCAGGAGGGTTATAGTCTGTAGTTGCAATGCCACTACAAAAAAGATCAGTGTAGTTTGCTTGTGTTTTGTTACTAAACTGTTCAGTGGTAGTATTGAGATACACAGCTAATCCATCCAATGTGCACAACTAAAAAGAAAACATTACCGTTATGTTTGGTACTATAATATTTTTGCTCGTACAGCTTACCTTATAAATTTGTGGTATGGCATACATATCTTTCATGTTACCAACTGTTTTCCAAGAATCTGTACAACTTTCTAAAATGAATTTATCAAGTGTAAAACCAACTGAAAATGGATGATCTTTAAAAGATACATGGTCCTCATATCGTACATGTATCCTTTTAATTTCGACATGTATATTTTTTATCATACGGGCGATGAGCTTTTCAACCATCGAATCATCTAATTTTTCTTGTACTATAACAGAAAGAAATATGTATATTTGTTAATTGTAAGCGTATAAGCATTCCTAAAAATTTAAAATGTTGACCCTAAACAGTTACATTTAGTATCCGCCAGCTGCTTTGTTTTCTCAACTCTTGCAAGCTCTGCCCTTTTAGCTTCAAGCTGAACTTTGCTTTCTTTCTCTGCATCGTACGCAACTTGACTTGTTGGTACTATGAGCAGAAACAATTCTTCAACTATCGCATCAATTTGACCATTCCACATGTCTTTGAATGGTATTTTTAATATAAGTTTGCCTGTAGAAACAAAATACTATATCAACTGTTTCTCTTTTACGTTTGGCATTTGGACAAATGAACAAATAAGTAGTTGATACAAACCTAGTCTCCCATATCCTAATCTTATAGGTAAATCCAGCACATCCAATGCAGTTTCTTTTATTAATAAATCATTTAACACAACATCCCCTTAAAAGAAATGTTATTTTACTTAACGTATAAATAGTATAGAGGAAATCCGAAACATGTGCATAGTTAGAAAGCATAATCAACTGCATTGTACAAATATACATAGAAACGAAAGTGTTAGTTTCAAAATCTTTTCGTCTTCTAAATTCAAACAATTGCAGTTCCCGCGGTATACGTCATGCGTGATAAAGTGCCAGGCAATATAAATAGAAGATGATGTCACAACGATGTACTAATAATAAAATACATCTGTGTAGGTTTACGAAATTTGTATCACGTCGAATAAATTGCCATCGCTTTCGCATTATTTTAATTTTCCCGAGTATTAACGAACTTGCAACGAAATCTATGGATATACAAATGTACATATATCTATTTTTTTGACTGTATACCGATGCGTGTACATATATTTAGAATGCTTTGGAAAACATAGAAAAATGTGCAAATGCTCTTACCACCCCATAGACTGACTTTTAGCTGCGTGTAATCCAAATTTTGTATATACTCTCCCAACACCTTGTTTAGGAGTTCAGTAACGATTGATTCGAAAACCATTGTTGATTTTTACTCTGTCAACGTACAGTTAATATCGTAACATCTATATAAACACGATAGAAACGAATAACAAATATTTAACAACATTCGCGTTCGTGAATCCGATGGTTAACGAACGGTTGGCGCATAAACGTGAAGTCAATCGATAATAAAAATACCGCATAACCTAACACGAATTCTGCATTTACACGTGTGTTCTATATAACTACGACCATGTACGAAACATAATACGCAACTATGTATTACGATTCATGAATTCCGCACACTACTAATTATTGTCATTGTTCCGCACTATTGATATCGATTCGAATTTTTGCTAACCCACTACTGCGCGCCGCTCTTGTTTCGATTGTCAAACTTTACCCGAAAATTATCGATTACGTCAAATTATTAACCGATAATGATTGTTAAGTTGCAAATTTAAATGACATCATACAGAAGCTTCATACTGACTTCCTCTGACATCTGATGTGCATTGTGTTACGCTTATCGCCCTCGCAATCTATTCGTTCACTGCACACTACATATGTTTGGTATGTATGTATGTATATGTATATACAATACGTATGTATGTGGGCTTGGGCGTATACTATGTAATAATAATAATACAATATGTATCTATGCACATACTCCATACACTATCGCAAACTATATCAGATTGATATGATACGCGCTAGCATGCAATCTTTTTTTCTTAGGTAATCACGTAAGTACTTGCATATGCATATATATAAAAAAGATGGCGTAGTAAAATGTATAAAGATATATGTGTATGTACATAAAAACTGTAGTTATTTAAAAAATGTGATCATGACACATAAAATTAATAAATAAAGGATTTCACCGAAACTGTATTACTTCAAAAAGTAGACCATTGAAATCTTTACGTAATAAATCTCATTTTTATTATAATACATTATACTCTGCTCAAAGATATATAAATTCATTTAATGCCAAAACCAGTCTAGATTCGTAACATTAAATGTTGTCCCATTGTATTTTGTAAATGTATATGAATTTAGTCTTCTGACGTATATTTTTCTCAATCCTATGTCCTGAAGCATTCTGTAATTATCTGCCAACTTTCGTTCCACGCTATCGGACAGTAATCTAAATTTTGTTAGCTGCAAGTACATATTGTCATTTTATAGTACTGAAGAATTGATAATTTATATTACTTATGAACCGTTGAAGAGATACCTGATTGAAGGATATTGCAACAGGAGTTGAAAAGATTATCCATGTTACCACTTCGCTACATGGAGGTGTCGTTAAGGAACCCTTATAAACATAAAATTCATCTGTGTTGTCAGGCAATAGGGAAGCTAATGTTATAGGGGTACCTAATTTTGTTTCCTCGTTCAACCATTTTACTTTTCCTAGTAAATTCAGAATGGGCTGCAATAACATATTGTCTTTGTCCTGCAACTGATCACAATTTCTATTATATTGCTAAGATTAATTTTATAATATTATTAGTGCTTTCCTTACTTGAAAAAATACACCCAAAACTACAAGACTGTCTTTATGATATAATGCGTCGGACAGATTTGAATATGCCTTATTTCTATGAACTATATGCATCTCCATTGGGTACCTGATATCATTCAATATGTGCTCAGATCCTCTGTTGTTCTTTGCGCCCCAGTGAAAGTGTAAATGATCTACCTTGAACTCTTCATTTTCAGGAAGCGTAGCACCAAATACATATGGCAAGCGCTTACTTCTTGTACCATTATTTATACTCATTACAACTAAAAGAATCGGTTGAAAATTAAAAATTGATCACGGCTCAGAACATACTAAGAAATTAAGAATTGAATTCGTTTACCTGAATGACCATTGTTCTTTAATTGAAGCATGTCTTGGAGATAATCATGATAACCGATCATTTCTAGAGCTGGTAAAGGAACAGCAAGCGATCTGGATGATAATATTGATATCGGAGATTGTAGCTGCCCACCACACGATTTGAATTTTTTAAACCACACATGCTGATCTATAATTTATTAACATTTATGAAGAGTATATCGTTTTGAAGAAAAATATCTTTCCATTTATTCTTACGTACCTTTTCTACTGTACCCAAAATGCCCCTCAACAAGTGAAACTAAAAAATATGTAAATAATTAAATAATCTACATTGTATAAGTACTTGTAACACTTTGCTAAACTTACTGGTCATCAATGAACTAATAATTGTAATAATATTCATTTTATATTGAAAAGTATTTTAATTGAATAACAAAATTTGGCTTGAGATACACTTTATGTACAGATCCAAGAAACATACTGAATTATTTCCAGCACTGCCCGACTATTTCGCGTACATATTACATCTTCTTCTATAATCGCCAATGTGTACAGTTACTTGAGTGTTTCTTTTCAATTAGAACTACAGAAATATGAGAATGAAGTATTCACGCTATGCATAACGTTTATCGTACACATGTCACTTATTACGCTTACATAATTTAGTAGACTCCAATTAATTTCATACATCACACTGTTCACAATAACAAATACTATAATTTGAATTAAGACGATATTTATTTTCTAACAGTCTTATCTATCTTTTGCCAATACGATATTACAAGAAAAAAAATATTTGCATGTCTAGCATACATGATAACAATTTAATGATACAATAACATGTAAGCAAATCGTAGTATCATTATTTAAATCATGTTAAGCTGTTTTAACTATCCAAAAATTACAAATGACAGTAATAAATAAAAGAAAAAAGATTTAATTACATTTAATATTAGAATCTGCTTAAAATTGTATCACGTGTCCCCTTCAGTTCATTATAAATAGGAATAGATATACAATTTTACAACATACATGTATGTAAGGCCACAAATACACACAATAGTAATTACAAAATATATATCACAGACTGAGACCAATACATAACTATGGCTCATAGTA